GTTATTGTGGAGGTCATATGAGATGCTCAACAGCATTAGAATGTTACTCGGGACATTTTTTAACAATTCCAGCTGGATGGATCGGGGCATTATCATCTAGAGAGATGGATTTTTCTTCCGGAAACAGTGCTTGAACCTTTGTATGAACTTGGTCCTCCAAAATTCCTAAATAGTCACGGCTGTTGATTCTTCCATGAAAAGAAATCATTTGTCCACCGGATTTCCAGGATATAACACCCCAGATCCCCCGCCATGTTACATTAGCACAAGCCACTCGAGCACTAATAATTTGGCTTTTTGAAAGTCAGAGAGATTTGCTGATAGGGCAACATGGGGCAGCGCCCCCCCCCCCCTTTTTTAAACTAAATTTTCGGTGAAGTTTTAATTGATACGAGGTGGTTATTGGTTTTGTTTAAAGGTGCAACTAATGAGGAATGTATGATGTGAATTAGAAGCCTATAAAGTTATTCAATTTTTAATGAAACACTATGTTGTAAAAAGTGTCAAAAATTAATGGGCCCATTGCCCCACCCCTGGGGCAATTATCCTACCATGGGCTTGGGGCAAGGCGCCCACCCTTGGTCCTTTTACCACAATTGCATATTTATCGTTTAAAAATGATAAAACAACACTTTACAGTTAAAAATAAGAAAAATGTAATAAAAAATATGACATTAATTCAATTATTAACAACTCAAAAAATCACATCCTTAACTAAAAAAATATAATCTTGGCTTAAAAATCTATCACTGACGTGACTTGATGTTCTCTGGACAAATAGTGTCCAGATGATGTTCTCTGAATGACCAATGTACCCTGATCCAATACTGTTCAGTGAACAAATGTTGTTCAGAGAACAAACCATATTCTATAAACAAACGATCTTCTCTGAACAAATTGTGTTGTCTGAAAAAAATTAGTTTGGTACGAAGACGTTGTAGAAATATCATTATAATAGAAAATGCAAGGCTAACTTAGGAGTTACCCATGATGGATTTAGCATTTATGTACTGGTACCTACAATACGCGCTACGTTGAAAGATTTAATGGCATTGAAACAACTTTGATTACACATTGATAAACGACGACGTTTTAATGACGTCGAAACCACGTCGATAACAAGTTTATTAACGACGTTGATTAAACGACGTCAAAACAATTTAGATTACAAATTGATTAATATAGAATAGAATAGAAGTGTCAGCCAGCCTGTATAATGACGTCGATTCAATGACGTTGAAGCAACGTTGATTACAAGTCGATTAGCGTCGATTTAATGACGTTGAAACAACGTTTAATAAACGTTATTTCCACGTCAGATACCATGGTCGGTGAAGCGACCTTGAGTTATATATATTATCTTACATATCCGCTCCTACGTCAGGCTATTGCATCCTACCTCTCAGCTGGTCTTCAGGAAGCTGTTACGTAGGACGAGTATTATTACGTGTAGCATATCCTGATGTAGGAAGCATCTATTTCCTGCAGGATACACCAGCCTGTATATTCAGGATAGACCAGTCTTTATCCTGCAGAACAGACCAGCCTGTATTCTGCAGGATAGACCAGCCTGTATCCTGCAGAATAGACCAGCCTGTAGGACAGACGAGAAGCCCACGTCAGATCTGTAGCACATCCTGTGGCCTTGTATGGCCCTTGAAGCGAGCTCGTATTTTTCTGCTTGTCCTGCTTAATTTAATAATTTGTATAAAAATTAGTATATACAAATAAGACAAAAAATAAGGGAAGGTATATGGGTTAAAAAATAATATAAGGGTTAGACAAAATAAAAAATACCTGAGAAGTCCACAAAATATATTTTTGTATGGTGTATAGGTCCAACTTTTGCGGCAATTACAGCTTTAATTCTCCTAGGTTTTGATTCATAAGAAGTGTGAATTGTTTACAAAGGAATTAAAACCCATTCTTCAGTTAAAACTCGATCCGGCTCTTATAAAGAAGATGGACGTCGGGAATCGACTTCTGACTTGTATCTCTAAATTTGATCATAAATGCTTGATTATATTCATATTTGTTGATTTTGGTGGGAATGTTCCTAGGGCCATTTTTTAACAATTCAAGCTGTGTGAATCGGGGCATTATCATCTAGAGAGATGGCCTTCCCCTCCGGAAACAGTGCTTGAACCATTCTATGAACTTGGTCCTCCAAAATTCCTAAATAGTCACGGCTGTTGATTCTTCCATAACGAGAAAACATTTGTCTAACGTATTTTCAAGAAATTGCACCCTAGATCCCCCGCCATGTTACATTAGCACAAGCCACACGAGCACCAACAATTTGGCCTCTTTGAAAGTCAGACAGGCGCACATTTAATAGGTCATAGTTTATGTTATAGACACAAAAATTTACTGAAAATATCTGTGCAGTGATAAAATATCAAGTAGCAGCAACAATAAAAAATGAAAAAAATTAAAATTTTCATTGTTTATAACATGTTCAAAAATTACGATATAAAAATGTCAGGTGTTTCCCTTGTTTTTTCCAACCCTGGAATATATAAATATGTTTTTTTTTATTCATAATACTCATAGTAATTATAACGTACTATATGTTCATTATAATTTACTTTCCATTAACATAAGTATTAGAGAAAATACTTTAACGCTTTCATTTTCTATATATTTTTCTTGGTCATAAGTCAAGTTTCTAAGATTAGATCTCCTATCTTCTATCTTTTCTTCTTCACGATTCGTAATAATTTTCATTGAATTTTTGATATTGTTTTATTCAAATTTGTTAGGATTGATTGATCATTAATCAACGATAATAATAAATTATTGATAATTAGTATACAATAATAATAAATGATTGATCATCAATCAACGATAATTAAAAATGATTGGTCATTAATCAATGATGATTTTAAATGATCGGTCATTAATAAATGATAATTAAAAATTATTGGTCATTAATCAATTATGATTATAAATGATTGGTTATTAGTCAATGATAATTATAAATGACTGGTACATGTGTATGTTGTATACATGTATATACAAATACAAGCGGCTATATACATGTGTATACAAGTACATGCGGCTATATGCATGTGTAAACAAGTATATAGTAGTAAATACTAGTTTATGTGTGTGTGTGCATATTCTCTTATATCTAAATACATGAATATACAAGTGTATACATGTATATTCACGCATATAGAAGTGTATCAATGAGTAATGCCAATCCAGGGTAATGTATAATAAAATGTAGCGTAAGTGTGCCTGTAGACCTGTAATAAATTTATATCACGAATTATTTACCTTGTTTCATTCAAATTTGTAAGGATTGATTGATCATTAATGAACGATAATAATAAATGATTGATCATTAATCAATGATAATTGAAAATGATTGGTCATTAATCAATGATAAATATAAATGATTGGTCATTAATGAATGATAATTATATATGATTGGTACATGTGTATGCTGTATACATGTATATACAAATACATGCGGCCATATACATGTGTATACAAGTACATGCGGCCATATACATGTGTATACAAGTATATACTAACCAATAGGGTAACATGGGGCAGCGAGCCCACTACGGGCTCGCTGCCCCATGTTACCCTAATAGGTCATTGGTTAGGTTATAGACACAAAAGCTTACTAAAAATATCTCTTAAAGGATGAGATATCAAGTAGCAGCAACAGCAATAAACAATCAAACATAACAATATGTCACGTTTTCATTGTTTATATCATGTAAAAAATTACGATATCAAAATGACAGGTGTTTCCCTTACTATATAGACCCAATCCCTGTATATATAGATATATTTATTTGTTTATTCATGATACTCATAGTAATTATAACGCACTACATGTTAATTAAAATTTACTTTCTATTAACATTAGCTTTAGAGAAAATACTTGAACGTTTTCATTTTATAGATATTTTTCTTGGTCCCATAAGTCAAGTTTCTATGATCAAATCTTCTAGCCTTTCCATCTTCACCACTCGTAAATGTGTGCAGTCAGCTGCAGTTGTGTGCAGTCAGCTGCAGTTGTGTGCAGTCAGCTGCAGTTGTGTGCAGTCAGTTGCAGTTGTGTGCAGTCAGCTGCAGTTGTGTGCAGTCAGCTGCAGTTGTGTGCAGTCAGCTGCGCTAGTGCACCTGTTGCACCACGCGGTGCACTGTCGTTTTTATGGTGCAGGCAGCTGCCATATCATCACCTATTCATCACTCAGCTATCTGCATCATTAATATGTACTGTACATACATAATTCATTCATTTAGCAGTGTGAGAGAATTTTCAATCTATATAATCATTTTGTAAATTTAGAGCGACGCATATTATTTTTTTTATTCATTTTCACTGCAACGGAGTATATAAGTGGACCTTGAATATGGGTTTCACAACAATCAAATTATGATTATTACTGTACTTATTGGTCTTCAGTGGCTCCTATATATTATATATTACCTATGAAAGACAAAAATGCAAATAGTGCACTAAACAAATAGAATTAGAATAGGTGGTAGTTTTTATATTACAAATTAATACCAGCTAAAGTTTCTGTGAGTCGTACGTTGATTGGCCCGTTCAGAATTAGTGTGGCATGATACCGCCGTGGGCCTGCCATCGGTCGCTACGGTGCACACGTTTTTATTTATGTAAACATGGTCAGATATTGCGAAGTGAAAATGTAAATATTTTACTGCTTGAATAAATGAATTGAATGTTTATCTCAATAATTAAATAAACAATTGAATGTTTATTTAAGTCTGTGTAATTTTACTAGTTACTTGCGTCCTGAAAATTAAATCCATGATGTTCCTATAGGTGTTATAGAAATTCATGCGTGATATTTACTGACTTGAATGTGAAATTGTTTCTAAAAACCATTAATAACACCAAAATTCAGTATTATTTTTGATCAGCGTGCGTTTCAGGGTAAATATTTTGACCTTCAGGGGATCAGTGGGTTAGGGGGTTAGGGTTGCCAATGGTAGTCTCTCGCTGGCTGTAGTGTAGTGAGGTTGTGTTCGTTGATTCTCTACGAAATGATTGAGTATATATGACCTCTACTTTGACCACAGTGCCCAATTCCCTAAACCTGGATTCATCTAATATACTTGAGCACTTGAATGATTCTATCCAGAAAAGGTGAGATCAAGAATTATATAAAAAGATATAATTCCGGAGCATTCTTCACCTTCCCCACACCTCCTCTTTTTCTGTTAACCGATCGTCTCTTAACTATTGCGACACTGCTACCGCCATCGATATATTTTAATTTTTTTTAATTCAAATTATATTATAAAACTGAAAATTTAAGTGTGCTTTCCTGTCTCCAATCCTTTGTTTACTTTTTACTTAAACGGGGCCCGCATATGTTTTGTGACCTCATCAATTTTTATCAAACATGCTCTCGATCATCGATGTAGCCTAATCTATAATGCTTTCAATGGAATGTAGTCAACTATTTTATTATTGGCTTGTTATGGTTTGGAAAATCCCAAGCTCTACATCTTTCAGCTAAAAGATGTTAGATTAATGATTGAAGGATTCTGAACCAGTACCAGGTCCACATAAGAAATCCCTAACGATTTTCCTGAAATTTCATTGACTATAAATTGCAAATTTTAGTTAGATTTCAATTTCTTTGCTCAGATCAAGAGTGCAATTGTATTCTAATTAGATTAATATGATGTAATACATCTGTTATCTGTAACAACAACACCATCAAGGCATTGCTGTTAATGAGACAGGACTTGCTATTGACTTATTGTAGTAGCAAATAGCTAGGCTAAGATATTTTTTAAACCAATTCATTTTATTTCCCTGATCTTGTTCAAAATTTTATTCTATCTTTATATGTAAATGCTGTATCTATGATATAGTGCTGGTCTAGTGGTCTACTCACATGACTTGAAAAGGAAGAGTCTGAAATATTCCCTGCTTTGTCACAAAGATTACTGTATGTCTTGGCAGGTATGGACCATGTAGAACATTTCAATCTTCCAAGTTGCAACTAAAGATTTCCTGCTATTTTTTAACATACTTCTCTTCAACTTCACTTCTTGTTTGTCTGTTACCAATCTTATAATCAATATTCTTCTACCTGTCAATATCTTCTACCTGTCTAATTGAGATGAAATTTTGCACACTTGCGTAAAGTTGGAGACAATGCAGGAATCGATTGACAGAATAAAAAAAATGTACAAAATAAATATTTAAAAAATAAGAAATTCATTGTACATGTGGAACATTGGAGACACCGGCCTCTTTAGAAGTGTGGTCTTCAAAAAGTACTTTTTAAACGCATATTAGTTAAAAGTTTTAGAACCAAAAGAATCCCATTTGAGGAATTACTTCCTATCTTTTGTTAGATAAGTATACAGTGTACACACTGTATAATGGGGCTGCAAGATACCAAATTGTTTGAAAATATGTTGATTTGAAGATTCAAGATTTCAGTAATAGGTAGGAAAATTCCAATCTTGCCACTCAGCAGATACTGTAATACCAATCAAGGTTGAGCCAATTTTAATTATTACCAGAATCTTGTACCTCCAAAGTGAGATAATTTTCAATAATTTAATGTTTTTGCTCAAATGTAAACTTTTGTTCATAGAAAGATAATTCATCTAGCGGGAACATAATGATTCCCTGGGAGCAGCAAGTATACAAGTGATACTCTAAAGATCTTTGGCAATGCATCTGCAAAAATATGTACCTACATTTTCAGAAAATCATGCCAAAACAGTTCTCTTTTAATACATTTTTCCATGTATTTTTGTTAAGAAATATCAAAGGTTTAGCTAGTTCTGGCTACAAATCCTTGAAAATACTGGCAAAATTTTGGGTATATGAACCTGACCTTTGCAAAACCATCACTTGAATTAACTCTGCATAGTGAATCCAAATTGTGAACAGAGCTTCCTTGACTTTTTTAGAGCTGTAGAATTTTTCCCAGGCAAAGTATCTATTACCTAATTGTTATAAAAACTGCATGACAGTATCAATAGATTTCAAAATTTTGTAAAATGTGTTTGTAGTGATCATTATTTCACATAATATTGCATTTTCCAGACCTGTGCTTATTAGCACAGGACTGGAATTAGCCCTCCTTTTGCTCAAGAACCAGTTCCTTTTCATTACTTTGAACAATACACATGTTATTATATATGAGAACAATGTGCATGGTAACATTATCCTTCCTAATGATACCAAGTCTGACCTGTTGTTATCATACATGACAGAATGAGTAGAATCTGGAATCTGGTCAAAAGTGGTCATTGAATGAAAATGAATGTTCATGAAGAAGTGTTGTACCTACTTGCCATTATGCGCAAAAAGCTTATATTTCAGTGCTCAATATACCTTAACACATGCTTCCCTCAACACACCTCAGCACAGGCTTGCCCCAACACTCCTCAACCCACCCCAACACTCCTCAACCCATCCCAACACCCCTCAACCCACCCCAAC